CACTTCGGGAGTACGCCTGCATCCCCAACACAATATTTGTAGCTGTATCCGGGTAGTGTTTATGTGGGTGTCTCTTTCTATTTGGGCAACTGCTAGGTGAAGGGGTTGGTTGGACTGACTGACTGAATGGGTCTCCTCTTCTCTTCTTCTTCTCCGGTTACCTCGACTCCTGTCCGCCAATATTTTTGCATCATCCACATCGATCCGGAAAAAAGATGGGTACTTGCCATTTTAAAAATAGGGGATGGGTACTTCCATTTTTCAAGTTTTGAAATTCGTGCTTCTGGCCTAATTCGACCAAAAATCAAAATGTGGCTTGTACGGACGGAACGTAATTTTTGAGGAAAATACGATACTGTGGATTTGGATAGTGTAAGCGGCAGCAGAATTGACGATTTTCCCTCGGCTCTGAACTGCTTGAACTTGTTAGAAAACCCAGTTAAAGTAAAATCTTTGAAGGTTAGTACTGATTTGGGCTCTACTTGGTTATTAATTACGACCCTAAATTTGTTTTTGCGCAATTTTTTTGATAAGATTTTCAGATACAGTAACTGTCAAATTATTGTAATTATTGTTTGGAATACGTTAAAATGACTTTACACGAGATTTCTTTACCAGAAGCTACGCATAACAACGTTTTTCGGTGCCTGAACTCCTTGAACCCCACGCGAAATCTGGGCGATATCTTCCAGCTTTTGATAACCAAGAATAACGCCAAGAAGTGGAAGCGCGGGGGAAAAACGGAAAGGGACCGAACTCCTCGAAATTCAAGCCAAATCAATGCCCAGTTTTTTGCCTAACTTCCAAATAACCGGCGGGTGGTTGTTGGAAAAACAGGGGTACGTATATTCCCACGGGTTCTCCAGAGAATCAGAAGAGGCCGAGGAGAGTTATTCTGGAGGCCATGGAGGTTCCGTTGCCAAGCACTGCCCCACAAGACATACCCAGGTACTCGAGATCCCCCCTCAGGCATTCCTCGTTTCTTTTGTCTCTACAAAACGACACGCGCCCTGATCCGCTGTGATAATCCAATTCCGGTCGGCTACTCAGAACGGCGCCATTCAATAGCCCTATTTCACACGCTGCATTCGATGAGCATCTCCTAGTCGACCCTGGTAATCGATTACGCCATGCTTTTTGGGCTGAACGTGTTGGCGATGAGGTTGGTGTGGTTCCAGTTGGATTTAACTGCTTTGATACATCAATTTTGTTTTGAAAGAGAATTGAGAATAAAAATACCGTATTCACTACCAAGCCCTACTTTTTTGGTTTCTAGAAAGTGTCTGATTTTAGCAGTGCTGGCGTTTTTCAGGTGTTTCTTAAATCGTATAAATGCGTTTACGGTTTAAAAATAAGCCAACAGCTTTTAAAGGGACTGGGAAGGCAAAATAGAGCAAATATTAAATAAGCACTAATCGATCGTCTCCCTAAAAAGCGCACAAGCTACCGTATCGCCGAGCAATAACATTAATTCCCCCAAGACCCAAAACCATCAGCTCCCCGCCATTCCCTAAAGCGTGCCCAGACTCTGAGGTTACCGTAAGCCGACTTCATCACTCAATCAGAAGCCCAAGATCTATTAAACATGCGATGCCAGGTATCCCGAAAAAGCGCCCTTCCTACCGTACTCGTGAGATATAGCATGGCATCCCGTGAAGGCCAAAATCATCAGCTCATCGCCGATTCCACGACATGTCGCGCGGGCCCTGGCGACGACGATTTTCGGGCCGGGGCCCTTCTCTGCCACCTAGGGCCCACCTCGTGAAGTCAAGGCCCGCATGGGCATGGCGCCACTACTTCCGGTCGCTAAGCAATTGGACCGGGAGGGGGGAGGGTGGAAAGGGCCACCACATCCACATCCAACACTCTGTGTCTACGCCTCCCAAATATCAGAGGTATTTGATCGTTGGAATTTTTGGGGGTTACGTTACGCTATGATACGCTACGCTAATACCTACCGTAACGCTACGTTACGATGCTTTACGTTTTGTTACGATACGTTTAGGCTACCATAGGATACGCTACGATACACTTAACACGTTTCGTTACGTTACGCAACGGTTGATTCTGTTTCAAACCGATACGCTACGTACACTACGTTACGATACGCTACGCCATGCACTACGACACGATACCTAGTGCAGATAACCAAGAATACCTTACGCTAAAATGTGAGGCGTTAAATTACGCCCCGATACTATTCGATATGACCGTACGATACGTTACGATAGTAGCTACGTTGCGATATCTTGCCTTAACTACACTCGGCGATTTTAGGGTATTTTAGAGCTGTTCTACGATATCTTACGTACGTAAGACTACGTACGCTAAGGCTATGTTAGGCTGCTAGCATTTATCGCTACTTGGCGGTATGATAATACTGTAGTAAGGCTACGCGACGATACCTCCGATACGCGAAGCACCGATACGCTAGGCGCCACTTTACGCTACATTTGATACGGTTTAAGATTTGTAGGTTTTTTGTGTCGATCAATCTTTATTTTATATTGCTCAAAAAAACCCTGCGAGTGCGTGTGAGCTTGAGCTCATGCTCAAGGTTAGTTTTGCCGTTGTTGCTCTCGATCGATCCGCTCTACAGTATAATGCAGCCCCCCATGCCTGTGTGCAGTGTAGCGGGCCCAAAATTCGCCCAATTATACGCTGTGGGTGTTGCCCCCCCGTTCCACATTTCCGCTCCCTTCACGCCATTCCCCGCTTTGTTTAGATTCGCTGCCCCCCCGATTTTCAGCCAGGGGCTTATGTCAATCTTTGCGTTTTGAAAGTTTTCGTCTTCTTCCTTGGAACTACTAAAAAAGCCAATTGCAAAATGCAAACCCCCATTCCGTTTCAGGCCTATGGACACCCTCGTCCAGACGCATCTCTTGCAGCAGAACAACAACAATGTACAGGTGCGTGGCGAGAATTTTTTAGCGTTCTATGGGAAATTAATAAGGCCGCAATTTCATCACCTTCAAAAGATTATAATGAACTTTCATAACTCCGAAACCCCGATACCTAACCAGTTTCCCGGGTTCCCCCTCACCCTGCGGCTCGTTTGCGAGCTGTGGCAAGCGCGGGGGCTTGAAGCTGGTCCGAAAGTGTCTTCAAGTACCCTCTGAAGCCCTTGAAGCACCCCCCCATCTCGGGCTCACTTCCAAAAGCCGCTGGGAGCCGCAGGGGAGGCTGAGAATATCTAGGGAAGGAGGGGGAAGTTGCGATTTAACGAAGAAGCGGAATTTTCGAAGTTTTTGGGTTCTTTTACTTTTTGTTTAGTCTTCAGCTTGAGCTTCGGCTTGGGCTTCGACTTGGGTTGGGGCTAGGCTTACGCTTAGGAGTCTGATTAGGAATAGTCTTAGGCTTAGGCCGAGGCTTGGGCTTCGGCTTAGGCTTCACAGCGCTTATGGTCAGGCTTCGGCTTCTGCCAAGCTTTAGGCTCGGGCTTAGCTACAGACTGGCGCTTATGGTCAGGTCTGGGCTTCTGCCAAGCCTTAGGCTTGGGCTTAGCTACAGACTGGCGCTTAGGCTTAGGGTATGCTTAGGATTAGGCTTAGGTTTTAGGCTTCGCTTAGGCAGCGGCTTGGGCTTAGGCTCCCGACGTGCTTAGGCTTAGACTCAGACTAATGCTTGATTTCCGCTTCTTCCTCGTCCCTTTAAACCTTCCCCCATCTCCTCGTATTGACTATATGCATGCGCACATCCCATTGACATTCCCGAAAATGTGCGGTTGGCCGTGGCTGGCTTTCTCTTTTGGATGGTTGACGGGCAACCGATGACAGCCCCATCCATAAATTGGGCCAGTCAGTGTGGCCAAGGGCCCAAAAACGATGGACCCGCCGCGGATGGGGGGCTCGAAAAAGGGCTGTCGATGACTTATTAGCATAGCTGCTCTCTTCTATCCAGCCGGCAATTGGAATTGAGCGTGAGTGCTTGGACGTTTAAATGTCTCTTAATCGATTTATTGATTTTTTCGTGTTTTTAAGGAGTTATGAAGCCAAGGTGAGCCCTAGATCTTGCCTTACGGGTTCCTTTAAAATAGATTTTGATAGGCTTAGGCTTAGGCTTAGTCGTAACGAATCGCGAAAAAATCTAAATTCTTCTTTTTTGAGCTATCGGGGTTTAATGAGATTTACCTTTATTCTCGATACAACGAGCTAAATATGCAAAAAGCCTGCCTTCCAGACCCCTTTAAACCCCGAAATTCCCCTCATTGGAAGCTCCCCATTAACCCCCGCAGCTCGATTACCGATGCAAACGGGCTACCGGAGGAGGAGTAGCTGTGAAATTGAAGCCCCCGTTTTCCATTCTGCGATGGGGGGAGGTGTCGTCTTCTTCAAGAAGAGGGACGCAAACAGAACGACCTATCTCCATTGTCACACACACATTCTAACCCCCATAGCTAAAGGGAACGAAACATGACACCGTCTCATCACACCCACCCCTCCTCTCCTCACATCCACCATACACGCAAACAGACAGACAGACAGACCACACTTCTGAATACCGCACGATCCCCGGGGGCTCGACATTTTTCGATAGTGTAGTTTTGTGGGGTAAGCTTAACTTCGGCCTCATCTGAACTTGTGGAGCTTAAGCTTAAGGAGGCACATCTCTGACTCGCTCTCTCTCTCTCTCTCTCTCTCTCTCTCTCTAGCTTCAAACTACAGTACCTCCCTAATTTCTCTCTAATTCAAGCCAGTAGGGATGCCAGAATCGACCCCTTCGTCCACTAGGTATCGACAACTATGTAACACTCCAAAATCCCGTTCAAACAAAAAATTAGCACGCCTAATTAAGGCCTTATGCCGATGTCGATAGCTAGTTGACGAGCTGGGTTTGTTTTCGGGGTCCCTGATCCCTTTAAAAACCATCATGCCAAGATCTAGCATGCAAGAAACCTCAACGAATCGAACTAGTCTTTATCTCGAATGGCGTGAAAACTTCGTCCTGGAAATATCCCCTAAAAACCAATCGTTGACAAAATAAAATTTCTAAATTTCCAGATGCAGTACGCCTCCCCCTCGGTCTCAACGCACAACTCGTGCTCCCCGAACTCCGAGATCGGCGAGAGCAAGACGAACCTCATCATCAACTACCTTCCCCAGAATATGAGCCAAGAAGAGGTAGTCGTTTTAGAGGGATGGCGACACCATGGTTTTTGCCTATAAACCTCGGGGAACCTAAAAACCAAAATAATTCCAGGTGCGATCGCTGTTCACCTCGGTCGGCGAGATCGAGTCGTGCAAACTGGTGCGCGACAAAATGTCTGGTTGGTTTTTTCCCTTGCCGGTTCCTTTAAAGACCCCTGGACTGTTCATATTGCCGAGTGGAGTCTTGCGTTCACCCATTTCTCATCCCTTTGTTGCTTCTTCTTTAACGTTTTGTGGCCTACAGTATGCTTTAAGTCTCACCTGGTGCTCCCTTTTCGACCCGTTTTGATGCCTAATTGGCAGGTTGGGCTTCGGCTTAGGTTTAGGCAGCCTTAGGCTTAGGCTTGGGCTTAGGCTTAGCCTTAGGCTTAGGCTTGGGCTTAGGCTTAGGCCTAGGCTTGGGCTTATGCTTCGGCGTAGGCTTAGGTTTAGGTTTGGGCTTAAGCTGAAAAGGGAAGCCATGGTGAAGGCTGATGCGTACTACCCCCAACTTCTGACAACCTAATTTCCATATCTTTCCTTCCCCCCAGCTTCATCTCTTTTTCTCACCGCCCCCAATTTTTCCAGCCGTTTTATTTCCCCTATCGTGTTCTCGATGCGATTTGATTTGATTTCAGGCCAAAGTCTCGGTTATGGTTTTGTTAACTACGTGCGAGAGGAGGACGCGACCAAGGCGATGGCCTCGTTCAACGGGCTGAGGTTGCAGAATAAGACGATCAAGGTCCGACACCCACTAAATACCTATCATTCACAAAATCGGGTGCACTAGCTGAGCCCAAAAAGACATTACGGATTTGGGGTTACGGTAGATGATTTTCAGCTGCGCACATGCTGTTAAAAATTCTATTCACGGCTATCGTTTAGAAAAATCAAAACGTACTTGGCTTATGCTTAGGCTTGTGCTTAGGCTTAAGTAGCACCCGGAATTGGCCTACACAAGACGTCGGAATAGACGCAAAACTGTCTAAAATCCATGGCGGTCGACATAGCAATTTAATTTCTTGTAAATAATTTCCCAATCAGTTCCACAACTCGCTGACGATTCTAATTTTGTATTTTTGGTCTGGACTCCGTTCCGTTGAAAGTTTATTTTTGCGCTCAACCCAGAATCATTTTTCTGTTTTTGCTCTTTCTGGTAACGTGTCGCTTTCCGTTCAATAGGCCTTGAAGTCAAGAAGGGAACTAAACAAATTGGCTTCGTCAGGTGGAGGGGTCTAGCGGGGACCCATAGGATTCAACCGGATCCTCGATAATTGCCACCCAGCCGGCTATGATTTTAGGTGAAGCGCGTGAAGCCGGGGATTAACATTTTTGCTTCGGGCTAGCTGGGAAATTGGCAGTTTTCTCGAGCTGGGGTTCGGAAACGAAAACAGAACTGCTTGGCCGGGGGATCCAAAATTTACGGGGGTTTGGAGAAGCTAGAATCGATTTGGGGGAGTGAAGCAAAATTATGCTAGAGTGCAAGACATGCACGGGGCTAGAAATTATGAGAATCTGACCTTAAATACCTTAAAAATTCCATGATTACTTACCTCAACCCATTCTTCCAGGTCTCCTACGCACGACCCTCGAACGAGTCGATCAAAGGCGCCAATCTGTACGTATCCGGCATCCCGAAGTCGATGACCCAAAAGGAGATGGAGGGCATCTTCCGGCCGTTCGGACAAATTATCACCTCTAGGATCTTGTCGGATAATATTACTGGTGGGTTCAAACGATTAGGCGATGAAATTTAGCTTCCTAGTCCCTTTAAAAGTATCTAAAGATCGACAAAAAGCTTTAAAAACACTAATTTTCCTTTTAGGCTTATCAAAGGGTGTCGGATTTGTGCGGTTCGACAAGAAAAATGAGGCCGATGTGGCGATCCAGGTTTTTTTGAAGATGCATAGCTCGACGCCTGAGCCCAATCCTAAGCCCAAGCTTAACCCCTTCATTCTAGACCCTCCACGGCACGATCCCGCCCAACTGCACCGAGCAGATCACCGTCAAATTCGCCAACAACCCCGCGACGAACTCGCATAAAAATGCATTGGCCGATGCGGCGGTTTGTCCTCTAATTCCTGATCAAGCTCTGCTGCTTAGGTAGCTCAAGTCGCTTCGAATCTCATCCCGATGGCGTTGCTGAACCAGGCCGTAGCGCCGAGGAGGGTGGCCGCCCCTGGACCTATCCACCACACGCCCATCAACGGAAAGTTTAGGTGGGTTTTGGGCTTATTAGGCTTAGGCTTATGATTAGGCTTAGGCTTAGGCTTATGCTGAGGCTCAGGCTTAAGCTTCCTCATAAGCCCAATTTCAAGCTAAAATTGCAGATATTCCCCAATGGCCGGCTTGGCTCCAGCAGCAGCCCCCGTCCAAGACATCTTCACCGCTAACGCCCTCATGCAATTGGCCGCCGTCTCTTGTAAGTCTTTCTGGGTTTTAAGTGGTTTTAACGGTAGAGTATGACTCGATTCAAATAATAAACTACACACTGTAAACCCCCGAAAACCCCTGAAAATAGGGTCGAGCCGCCCGTTTTCAGCCGCCACCGGTCCCGCGCTAGGCTACGAGGGCGAGCTGGCTGCCTTGCAGTGGAACGCAAGTCAGTCGAGTCGCTGTAGGGAATGGATCGCTTATCGGAATCTCGAAAATCGGAATCTGATGTCGTGTGGAAAATGATGAAATTTCGTGGTTCCGATTTTTGAGATTCCGAGAGGAGGAATCTGTAGTTTGTAGCCCCATGTATGCTCTAACACTGTCGCCTGTCCTAGATTTATGTTGCATAAGCGTTTATCGATATTAAAGGGAGGGAGAGGGAGAGAGTGAGGGAGAGAGAGAGAGCAAGGAAGATATCCAGACAAATAGATAGATGCTTAGCATGAACAAACTTACCACGATTCGTAAAATCCGCTTCCTTGGGTCGTGACAGCTTCTACTACCCCCCGCCTATTTTTGTTATTAGCACGTCACATAACTGTCGATCACTAAAATATGCCTCATAAATCGTTGTTTTTAAGCCATATCGAAGTAATCTTTTTTTAGTCCCCCAAATGACGGCCGCCGGCTTCCCCGGACTTACCGCACCACTCGGAGCGCCAGGTACCAAAAATTAGTGCACGTTGAAGCCTGGGCCTCAATTTAGCCGTAGACCTGACGTCTAGTCAATCCGGCTTCTGCCTGTTCGTCTACAACCTCGGCCCGGATGTGGAAGACTCGGTTCTTTGGCAGCTGTTTGGACCGTTCGGTGCCGTGGCCAGTGTCAAGGTGGGTTATTGAAGTTTTAGGTTGGTCTAGGTTAGCAGGAATCCCTGAGGAATAGCTTATCTGGACCAGTTTTAAAGCGAAATCCAAATCTGGGATTTGTTTGAAGCGAAGATGCAGATTTTCTAAGTTATCGCTAGTTTTTGGGCTGTTGCCAGCGCAACTGTTGCTCGAAAGCTATATTGTCTTTCAAAGAAAAGATGATTCGAAACCATGAGAAGTGGCTCTGACGTAAGGATCGGAAGGCTGCGAATCTGAGAAAAATTGAAGCTAAAATGAGCCACAAAAAGTCGTCCTTAAGAATGATATAACTGAACGAACGTGAATCATTTCTTCAAACCAATTGCATATTCGGAAACAGCACAAAAAACTAGTCCAGATCAAGCCCCTAATTCCGAAGAAAACCTCCCAAACTTTCAGATAATCCGCGACTTTGCCACCGGCAAGTGCAAGGGGTACGGGTTCGTGACGATGGTCGGCTACGAGGAGGCCATCAACGCGATAGCCGCCTTGAATGGGACGACATTACAAGGCAGAACACTGCAGGTCAGCCTGGCACCCGCCCTGCCTGGCCTCATGTGAATTCCTCGGGGCTCCGAATTCCGGGATATCCTTCCTGAATACCCACGCTATTCCACTCACACGAATTGAATATCTGATATACAATGTCCATTCCGTCGTCCACTGTATGATACGGGCGTATGTAATGCGTAATATACGTACTCTTACGTACTGTTACGTACGAATACGTGAAAAACGCAAAGTTTCGTACTATTACGTACAGCTACGTAGTCCTACGTACTTTTAAGTAGTGTTACGTATTCTTACGTATTACGTACTACCCGCACCGTACCGTAATATATACTGATACGTGTCCAATCCCCCTGAAATATTTCCGTCCCTTTCCTAATGACGCTTCATCTCGACTCACGCCGGACTGGTCGTCTCGCCGTCTCGCACGACAGGTGTGTGCTTCACTAAATTTAACTAAATTTTTGCATCTCTCAACTTTATTTTTAATTATTTAAGAGATTTTTAAACATCATTTCTTGAATTTTAAGATACTTAACGGAATTTTGATAGCTGTTTTAAACTTAAACCGGCTCAAAAGTGCTATACATCTTTACAAAACTCATATTTTTATTGTTATTTACGCTCGCTATAAGTAATAAGAAGGCTAGACTTAAATAATATTCAAAATATAATGCTTTATCGACGCAAAAAATTCCGCCTCGCTCCACTCAAACAGCTTGCCTATTCAATGTCAAAATTGCATTAACGTGTTTGCTGGGCACGCCACTAAAAAAATACAAAATTAACATTTGTTGATTGCCGTTAAATTCCATGTTATTTGCTTGAAATTTGCATAACTTTGATGGAAGTTTTCCGATTTATAAGCTCTAGCAAAGACAATACGATTTTAACAAAAATTCAAGGCTTAATTGAGCTTTTTCTGTGAATGACTAACCCTAGAAATCGTGAAATTCACGCAAAAATATGCAAATTTAGGTATCCTTCAAAAACGCGAACGGCGAGACGAGTCTGGTGAAATGAGAAGAAGCGAAACCAGAAAACACAGTGTACCCCCGCCTCCTCTTTCCGGATACCGTAACCAAAATACGTGCTGTGATCAAGTCAATCTAGTATTACACGTCCAATAATCTAGCCAAATTGAGGTATTCTAATTTTGTCGGTTTTTTCGCCCCACCAAAGCTTTATCGATTTTCTCATGGGCTTTGCGATGGGCAGGTGGGTGGGTGGAACTTGGAGCGTAGTGTAGTCGTTGGAGCGTTAATGGGTGGTTGAAGGCGGGTTTGGGTCAGGCTCAGGTTTAGGCTTAGGCTTAGGCTTGGCTCAGGCTTGGCTTTTTCTTAGGCTTGGCTTAGGCTTAGACAATGAGTCAAAAGTCGGGAAATTCAACGCCAAAAATTAAAAATCCTTCTAAAACACCATTTAAGTGAAACTGATGGGAAATTCATCACAAACCTTACAAAAACCCCAATAATTGCCCTCAATTTCCCTTTAAAGCCCACTATTCCACGACGCGCCAATGCCCACCAACCTGCCCGCGTTCCTTTCGAGTACTCTAGTCCACCGTATCCCCCCAAAAAAACAGCGTCTACCGTATCCCCACCCCGGAAATATCCCACCTATTAATGCGCCTTGTCACAATGATGGAACCAGTATTTTTATGTAGCTAGGCTATGATCGATTTTTCCGAGTTTTACCGTTTTCCCGTTTTTCCTATCGTAATCCGGGTGTAAATTGGAAATTATTGGGGCCCATGAACAGCCGAAACCCTCCGGAAAACTCCTGTTTACACCCAGTATTCTACCGTACCCCGAATGCACACGATTGTGATATCCCCCCCCCAGCCGTCTCTCCCCGTGTACAATAATTTCTACGTCTTCTCCTCGCCCATTAAAAAGGGCAAAAACTATAAAAATTGAGCAAAAAATATTCTAATTTCCCGGCTGCGAGAATGCACGCGCCTTTTTCAATGACCATTTATCCTAATTTCCTCTTTTCACATCGTGTGCTTGTGCCCAATTTGTTTTTTTTTGTTTTTTTTTCGCTTCCAGGAAATGCCCCTTTAACTTCAGTTTATTTCACGAAACACGATTTTTATTTTGTTTTTCCCGGCACCAAAAGTACACCTTACGACTCACCTCCCTGAGCAGGTTAGGCTTAGGCTTAGGCTTGCGCTTAGGCTTAGGCTTAGGCCTGCGCTTAGGCTTAGGCTTAAGCTTGCGCTAGGCTTAGGCTTAGGCTTAAGCTTGCGCGCTTAGGCTTAGGCTTAGGCTTTGGGCTTATGCTTCTGCTAGGCTTAAGCTTAGGCTCGAGGGAAGCCGAGGGGTGTGAGTCTGAGGTCCAGTCCACGCTGTCTCTATCCGGCCGCCTATTACCAGTTTTCAGTTGCTTTTTTCAGCTTTTTCTCGCCTTCTTTTCACACTCTTTTCCTTCGGATAAAGTTTCGGTTAGCACAGCTTTGATTTTCATTTATTTTTGGTTTTTCGGTTTTCAGAGTGAGTTTTTCGGAGTTCCGCTTACAGATTTGGTTTCGACTTCTTTAATCAGGTTTTCAACACACGCGGCATGGGTTTTTATTGTTTAATCTTTAAAAGGGTGACAGTAAAATTGGCGAAATGCGCCGAATATTATACAAAACACAGAAAATACCTCTCATTGAATGAGAATTTCGAATTTTCGGTCAGCAAACTACACGTTAAAATATTTATTACAATTTGAGCATTTCAAAACTATTGTATCCATTCGGTCATGGCGAGAGAGAGGGAGAGGGAGTGAGAGAGACAGAGAGAAAACCATCTACAGGATGGTGACATTCTTGTACTTCTCCTTGAGCAGCGCCTCCAGCTCTTGGACGTGCGTCCGGTCTCTCGTCTCGGCAATAATCTTTACTTTGACCTGGAAATAAAAAGTATACAAAAGTATTTGAATTTAAACCGAAAAGACGTCCGTGGAGATCCAGGCTCGTTCGTGGAAGATGTCCTTGATGGAGGCGCCGCTGTGGGCGATGTGGGTGGTTAATTCGGCGATACCTAGCGGTGTAGGATAGAGAGAGAGCGAGAGCGAGAGAGAGAGAGAGAGAGAGAGAGAGAGCGATAGCGAGCGGTATGTGTCTTTAAACTACCTCCTGGCCTGTCCGATACCACAACTTCAATTCGAACCAAGCGCCCATCTACTGCCAACCCTCGTTCAATCGAGCGTCCCAATACCGTGGTATCGATATTACCTCCAGTCAGGATACACACGACCCTAAAAACAAGCTGTTGACTCTCTAGAATGACACCTACTTTTTGTCCTTCAAGTGCGGCACCTTATTCGAGATTATCGCCGCCAACCCCACGGCTCCAGCTCCCTCGACAACAGCCTGGAAGTAGATGAACTCGATAGGCAAAAAGCGCACACTTTCTTTACCTTTTCCACCTCAATGAGGCGTAGGATTGAAAGGGCGATCACCTCCTCGCTGACGGTGATGATCTAAACGGAGATTTCAACCAGTTCGGCCCTGCTTACCTGGTCGATCATCGGGGCGGCGGTCTTTAGCGAATTGCCACCTACGGTAGGGACGGCGAGGCCTAGGAAGAGGTCATAAATATACGATTTGAGGTACCATCAGCCAGGGTGCTGCTCGTCTCCACGGCTATAGGTCTGCCCTCCTTGATGGCGGCTGTGAAGCTGGCGCAGGTTTCGGTCTCGATTCCCTGTAAGAAAATTTCTACTCTCTCTCTCTCTCTGTCTCTCTCTCTTTCTTTTTGTCTCTCTCTCTCTCTCTTTTTCTCTCTCTCTCCCGCTCCTTCTCTCTCGCCTACCACTTACAATGATGTGACATTCCGGTTTCAAAGTCTTAATGGCGACCGCAACGCCTGCGATCAGTCCACCACCCCCGACTGGAACAAGTACAGCATCGACATCAGGGACCTAAAGCTTTAGAATGGTCCAATTTTCTAATCTAAAAAGCTGGATTTTTCCAGAGGTGCACCCGACCTGCTCCAAGATCTCCAGTCCGATTGTCCCCTGCCCGGCCAAAATGTCCGGAGCATCGTACCCGTTGATGTACTTCAACCCTTTTTCCTTCCCAAATCGCATCGCGTAGTCTTTCGCCTAAACTCGAGCTCAAGAGATGAAGGGGTTGGATGCCTTGGCGATATTGTTGCCCTTCAGGATGACGGTGGCACCGTAGCTACGGCACAAGGAGATCTTCATGATTGGGGCAAAGACAGGCATGACCACCGTCACCGGGATGTTCAGCAACTTTCCGTGGTAGCAGAGAGCTAGCGCGTGGTTTCCTAAAAATGTATTGTATTTTGGCATCATCGACGATCAGGGTACTGCGCAGAACCGTGCCGTTCAGAGGAGTGCGGCGTAGTCAAGGTCCGCCTATGCACCTATGCACGAATTGACTAAATGCGCCTGAAAAATACAATTTCTGTTGCGTCACAAGACCGAGGCGTTCAGAGGAGTGCAGCGTAGAAAACGCATCCCTACGCGCGACTCCTATGCACAGATTGACTAGGTGCGCAAAATCAAACCAAAAAATCAAAAAATACCTGCGCTCGCCGCGATCACCCCGATTTTCCGCTCAGCAGCCGTCAAGTGCGACAAGGCGTATCTTAAGCGGAATTTTGAAATGTTAGAACTAGAAATCTTTACCTGGCTCCCCGCTCCTTAAAACTGCCCGTCACCTGGAGGTACTCCTTCTTGAAGTACAACTCGAAGCCGTAGAGATTGGATAGTTGGAGGGATTTCTAAAAAAATACCGTAAAGTTTTGGTTTTAAGATTAAAAAATATTTTATCGTCTTTAGTATTTGATTAAGATTTTATATTCAGTGTATGGATTTTAGTATTCTACGCACCGAGCACGGCGTGTGCACCACCCCAGACTTGATGTTGAACATGGCGGACGAGATGTCGGAGAAGGTCACGGTTCTCGGGTGTTCCGGATCGCAATCCGGGTCCGGGATCACGAGCGACTCATCGTCATCTAAGGATGAGGAAAGTTGATGCGCAAGAAGTTTTTGACCTACAATCGATTTTATCGGCTTCGGTCTGAGGTTCGGCCTCCTTCAGCGTCTTCTCGGCCTCGGCCATCTGAGCATGAAGCTTGCGGACCTGGAAAAATAGGATCATTCCAATCTGATCTTCCTCCCGGCCTCCAAAGTACTTTCTAGGCTAATGCTCACCTTCTTACTGTATGCCAATCCATCTGCGCATTCACTATTGAGCCTCTTCCTCAGCTGCTTCGCTCCATTCTTCTTAATAGCCATAGTTACGGTAATAGATATGAGTATCAATTTCTGAGCAAAAATCGGGCGAGTATAAAATGACGCTCTCTTCGTCCTCTTTATACCAAAACAACCCGGCTTTCGATGACATTTCCGAGACGATACGCCGATGATGGGGATCGGGGGATTCCCCCGAGTGTTTTTTCACATGCTCCCGCCACCAAAATAGTGACCATAACCCGCAAGGAACGGGTTTTAGCACGATTTAGGACGGGGGCTATCAATCTATCGCTTGACCTTTGTCGCATACGGCAAAAGTTGGGTGATTTTGCAGGTGTTGTTTGATGGGTAATGCGCTTTTGAAAGGCTCTTGACAAAACCCGAAATGTCGATACTTCATAATGCCGAAAAATCATAAAATCTAAAACTTATATCGAAATGTCGAAATGACGAAATTACATTTTGTCGAATTTTCGCGTCGCTTCTGTTGGAAATCCCTTAAAAACAGGCGAAAATGTCGACGCGATGGGTCTTCCGACATTCTGATATTTCGCGATGACGAAAATTTGACACCACAAAAAATGTCAACAATTTCGTTTTCGACAGTAGGAAAATTCGATATTATAAATTTCTACACAATATGGCCTTGAAGCCGCAACCCACCGGACTGTCCTCCTTGGCCAAGTCGGGCGGCGAGTTCGACAGCTTCGACAACTTCCGCGTGCTCATCCCTGAAATTTATGGCTACGGTGGATTTGGGTGCGAATTAGGGGGCGAGTCCAACTTTCAGTGAAACACCCGGTGTAACCAGTTCAAACCATCTTATCCCTGCCGTAATCCCGGATCACATTCTCGAAGCCGCAGCCTCGTGAGGGTGCGGGAGAGAGAGAGAGAGAGAGAGAGAGAGAGAGAGAGAAAGAGAGAGAAAGAGGCGGAAATTGCCATAAATCAGTGCTAATTGGTCGAATTGGCAATGACACGTGGTCGGGTTGAAATTGCCATTTTTTAGGGAGGAATTTGACAAAACTATAGGGTGATCTGGCAAAGGTTTTAAAGGAATAGCGCAAGTGGTTGGGAAAAGCTTTAGTTTTGCTTAAATATAGTACCGGGTCGTTGATGTTCGTTGACAATGCTGTCCATGGTCAAAACGTGGTCTTCTTAAATATAGTTTTAAAATAGGCTTAGGCTTGGGCTTAGGCCTAGGCAAATGAAATGCTCTCGAAATACAGAAAATAGCGTTGTTATGTCCCGCCTTTTCCAGAGAAAAACCTGTTTATCCGAAAAATCTCTCTAATTCGTGCGTCAATAGCACAAACCTCGAGAAAATCGGTGCTGATATAGATGAGAAATGACAATAAAATTTTCGGAAGCACAATAAAAAACCAAATTTTTTGAGTTTCTAAAACTCGTTGAAGTCGTTGGTAACCTGGAACAAAAGTCAAAATGGAGCTCCAGTCAAAACGAGACCGAATGCCCCACACGGACGGTTATCAACGAAATCGAGCCCCCCTCTTTTGTGGCGGCAGGTTGATTTTTATTGCCACCCGCACCCATCTTCTTCTCCCCCGCCGTCTGCCCATCCTTGTCTCGCCGCGCCATTTCGCAAATGATGGTGAGAGAAATGAGTAAAAACCGTCTGTTCTTCCCCCGAGGATTCGAAGCACCCAAACCGACGCTGACCGTAAATCTTTGGGCTTTTATGGCTCGTGATCCGGGAATAGGGATCGAATCCGGGATCAAAATGTTTTCGAAGGGAAAAACAGAGCGGTGTATGCCAAAGATCCGACAAAAATTTTTGAAAACGGATTTCTCAAATTGTCTTTGCCAGCCGGTCTCGCTGAATCCGTCAGGCTGTAAACCGAAGTAGCCTAAGCCTAAGCCTAGTCTTAAACCTAAGCTTCATAAGCTTATTGAAGCCTAAGATTGGATCTAAGCCTAAGCCCAAGCCTAAGACAATGCCTCAGCCTAAGCCTATGCGCAAGCCTAAACCTAAGTTAGCATAAGCCTAGGCGTAGGCCAAGCTTAAGCGTAAGCCATGCCTAAACCTAAACCTGAGCCTGCCTAAGCTTAAGCACCGTTTTAAGCTCAAGCCTAAGCCTACCCCATCTTGGCTTCAAAGTCCCAGCCGAACAATCGTTTTTCCCTTTCTGCGCACTTGGTAACCATAACAAGTTTTTGCATTTTTGCCACAAAAATGCAGCTCTAATGCCAGGCTTGGAAAGGCTTTAGCTTTGCTTTGAAGATCTTCTAAACCCGACTCTTGGCTAGGTTTTCTATACATTTTGGTTGTCTACACCTTTTGCAGATGAACAATATTGACACACATATATCCTCCAATTGGGCCCAATTCATGGGCCCCTTCCGGTGAGCCTTTGAAATCGAAGCTCGGGCCCTTTTCGGGTGGGGGATGGATAGTGGGTCCGGTCGGACCGGCTGGCACTGTATATGGATAGGTGTTTGCACAGATTACTCCCGCTCTTTCTCTCTCTTCTCTCTCTCTCTCTCTCCACAGCCACGTCCAGATCCGCCCCTCCTATTATGGTAATCGGCGGTTGCCACAAATTATTGACTCGCTTTGTGGGGCTCATTAGCCTTCCGCTTATGCCTAAGTTAAGCGTAGTTCAAGCCTAAGCTCAGGCTAAGCTAAGCCTAAGCCAACGCTAAGCTAAGTCTAAGCTAAGCCTAACCCTGATTTTTCCAGTAATGGCCTTCATCGCCACCCCCGCCTTCTCCAACCTGTACTCCAGCGGACTACTAACAACAGCCTCCCTACCCAGCAACAGTTCCGCCACCATCCTCGATACATCCGGAGCTGATTCCGCTTTTCTGACTGGTCAGACATTGGTAAGGCTGCAATCACGGTTATCTTTTTTCTTAGTGTTAGAATTCCCCTACGTTTTTTAGCCCTTCAACCCTTACGAAGTCGTCCTATCGAGCGGTCAGATGCATCACCAACATCATCAAAGTGTAGTGGAGGCTATTAGTAGGTTTAAGAAAGACTTCAAGACAGGCATTTTCAGGTTTAAACCAAACCGACAAGAAGCCGATCCTGGATCCGTTCGATCCGGCAGCTGTTGTCCCGCTTCCGAGTCAACTGGAAGATCAGTTTGGGTAAGATCTTTCTCGTTCTCTCGCTCTCTCTCTCTCGCTGCCGTCACTCTATAACCTAATATCCCTAATTTCAGCCCCTTCACCACTTCTGTCTGGAAGCGCAACGAGCGTGAGCGATTCCGGGTCCGCTGCGTTAACGACGGGTACCAGAAGCTGCGACGACACTTGCCCGTAGCTGAAGAGTAAATTTTATGCTTTTTAAGGCACATATTGGTCCCTATGATTTTGCCCCCCAAAAGTCACATGGTGAGCTATCGGGCACTATCCGGCGCGCGCCCTCCAGAATGTTTGCTGATGCTTGATGGATCGGGCGGCAGGGGGGGGGATTGATTAATCGGGAATTGGCACCTGGCCCAGTCGTTAATTACATAGATATAACTGGATTTGAATGTGTAACGGGGTGAAGGCATCGTTTTAAAGGGACTTAGAACTCGTGAAATTTCCGGTTTTCGGTTTTGTCTCCGTTCGTCTGTCACTTTTACCCAAAAAAAGGTGAAGAGAGAGAGAGAGAGAGAGAGAGCGAGAGAGTTGATTTCCTCTTTAAATCGAATTTCAGTGAAAAACGCCTCTCAAAAGTGGACACTCTCCGATTGGCCATCCGCTATATCCGGCACCTATCGGAAATCGTCAGAAATGAGATGCACCTGCATCACTGTCGGTAAGCTAATTCTATATAAAGCTTAACGACGGCTTCAGATGCTTCGAAAACTTCACCGAACAATCCGAGGGCCACGTCCAGATTTATTTGGCGGCAAATGGAAGACGGATCTGAGTTGAGGATGTGAATAAATTTTTTATGGAGTGTGGAAATTTTCATTCCTCTGTCTCTCTCGCTCTCTCTCCCTTTTTCTCTAGCTATCAGGTTGCAACTTATCCGCCTAGATGGCGCGATCCTTTTTGCATCACGGGACTGTCCAAATGGCCAGGCGCGGACGCGGAAAGCCGCGAATCGAGTCTATATCTCCGTCTCTCTCTCTCGCCGCCTTGATTAGCCCGCGCGCCAAACTTCTCCAAACAACCCTCCCCATCGGACCGTTCGCTTCTCTGGCCAGGCCATAGATCTCGCGCATTTCTTTCCATTTTCTTCCTCAGGCCGTGTCCCGTTTCTCTGGCCATCCTAGGACCCAATTGGCCCTGCCTGCCGCTTTAATGGGTCACGCGAAATTAGCAAATTAACGAACACGAGGCCCGTTTTTGGGGGGTGAACGAGGGTATCCGGCAAGGGGCGCCAGGCTGTAAATTGGGATGCGGTGGAATGGTGTATGTCTTGTCCTTGCTATCTCTCCCTCTCTCTCTCTCTCTCTCTCTCTCTCTCTCTCTCTCTCTCTCTCTCTCTCTCTCTCTCTCTCTCTCTCTCTCTCTCTCTCGGTCTGTCTTACTGTGTGTAACATCTCGAGCCAAAGCACCACCACAACACCCTTTGGCCCCCACTGTGACCACCCCACCTACCAGCCTTCCATCAAATCCGTCGCCGGGTCCTCTCCCCCCGGGCCATTGGTGCCACCCGTCAAATTCTGGGGTTGGGGATTTAGATGGATTTGTATAACTTAATCAAGTTGATTTTTGTTCTTTTGATCTCCATATATTTCTTGCTCGCTCTCTCTCCCTCTTTCTCGTTCTCTATCTTTCTCGCTGTCTCTCCCTCTCTCGGAATTACGAACAGAAGGAATGGATCTACCTGGAAAAAAGCTTCAGAAAATACGAGACAAGATCTTCATCTTTTTCTCTCTCTGGTTCACGCGCTCTCCTCTCTCTCTCTTTCTCTCTCTGTCTCTCTTTCTCCACGTATGGCATCCATAAGATGCTCCCCTCAAGGTCCCTTTAACTTTTCTAAACACCCTGAACACCCCCCAAAAACTAATGCAAGTTGATGTTTCCCGACAAACAACCGCCCCCGACGGCTGGCCAGCCCAAAATTGGCCAAATCCCTGACCGGCCACAGGGGGCAGTCGGCCGCCTTCGGGAAGTGCAGCTAATTTGTTGCCAAATCGGAACGGGGAAACTCGACGTGTTCTTCTTTTCGACATCATAGAGATTGTTAAAGGCATTATAGTGAATTTGCAAACACTTTAAATTCATGAATTAATAATAAGTGCTGTTTGGTGTGGGGATAGCGCGTTGGACTGCGGAGCGGACCATCCCTGGTTCGACCCCCGGCCGGCGCGCACTCTCTTGCTTTTTGATCCATCCCAAATTTCCAGAGGCCTTTAAGAAGTGGAATAATTAGGAAAAATAGAACTAAAAAAGTTTCCAAATAGGGAGCATAACTGATATTTTTTAGCCCATATACGGAACCGGTGTTCTTTGGACTTATCTACACGCATCATCCAGGAATTCCTAAGCCATCCCTGAAAAAATTTTGTGCATGATATTCTGTTTCTTTTCGCTGGGTAAGCGGAACCGGAACCCCGAAATTTCCCCTTCACCCCCAGCCAGCCACCAGCCATTTGACCCGGGTGGGGGAAACTCCCGGGGTGCTCTCGCTCTCGAGAGCCTGATACCTGGTTTTTTGCATATCGAATCGGATTGGGCTGCCCTGATTTCGCGAGGTTTGAAGGGATTAGCAAGGCTAGAGATTCGGGATTGTGAAACTAGCAATTTTATTTTAAAGAGAATATGACGATCTTTATGACACGCAGAACTTGGATACCCCTCTCTCTCTACCACACTCTCTCTAGCTCTCTCGCTCTCTATTGCTCCTGTTTCTCTCGCATGACGACTCAAAACTCTGACAAAAGTTTGTTAAGGGATAAAGTAATAAGAAGAGATCAAGATAGAACGAGAAAGAGAGAAGATAGAGCGACATATATTTTTACAGCTTGTGTACAGTATTGTGACGTACTCCGCCCCTAGCCACCAGCCTCCTTACTACCTCCAATCTCCTAGTACCCTCTACCGCCACCTTTCCCTTCAAATCACCGGATGAAACTGATATCCCCCTTGGGGAGAAGACGATCCTCATGAGATGAATCGAGTGAATGTGGGGGTCGACAAAAAACAAAGGTCTCGCCCCCCCGGAATTTAGGGCACTTTCGCCGCCCCGGGGGCTGGGGGGAGAAACACAACCCGAGACCGCAAAACGATCCCCAAAAAAGGAAGCGCTGCGGTGAGATGTGGCCTGAATTAAAGCTTGATTAATTTTTGGATATTAGACATGTGATTTGCAAATTTTTTTAGTGGCTTTTTGGCTGATTCTTGATGTCTCGATGAACCAATCTCTCCCCCTCTCTATCTCTCTTCCACTCCCTCGCCCAATAATGAACTTAGACTTAGATAGCAGGCTTAAGCACGGGTTTCCCTGCTACTCTCGAGCTTCATGGGAGCATAGATAAATTTCTTCAAGTCACAAAAATACGAAGCCTGAATTTATATCTTTCTTTTTCTCGCTCTCCCTTTCTCGCTCTTTCTCTCGCTCTCGCTCTCTCTCTTTCGCTCGCGCTCTCTCTCTCTGTCTCTCGCGCTCTCTCTCTCTCTCTCACTCTCTAGCTCCCTCTCTCTTTCTCTCCCTCCTAACCCAAACTCCTTTCCAGCCATTATGTCATCCACCAGTTCCATCTGCTCAAGCATGGAAGAGCCGACGGAGAATAAAGTAAGATCCTAATTTTTAGCATCTTGCACGAATTCAGATGCCACCAAACCTTCGAAGAGACGTGGAACGATTCTCCCTCTTCCTCACACGGCTCAGAAATGCACTGGATGTCAATCAGAATTATCCAGGTTTAAGATCGGATCCTTTTTTGCTAATGAAAGTTTAGATGGCGAAAACTCGTACATCCGGGTGCACTCCGCGTTGGAGATGGTGTCTGAGAGTATTCGGGATTTGTTCAAACATCAACAATTCAAGACCAACGCCGTCATTCTGCCCTCGTTGCAGTTGGTGCAGTCGGTGAAGGGTGAATTTTGGAGACGTTTCATAGTACGCAAATAGTCGATTACAGTGTTGCAGTTCCTATTCCCTCTCTACCTTTATCCCTCTCACGTTCTCTCCTTCTCTACCTCGCTCTCATGCTCCAAATAGATTGAACTTCCGCTTAGGCTGATCGCCATTTCCTTCTCGAGGTTTTCAGGAAGGTGGATGGCTATTTATCGGGTCCCAGTCTCCAACTTCAAATCCCTGGGGGCTCATTTTTCTGGGGTGGTCCACGATTCGCGCGTATTCCTTGGTCTATGCTTCATCTGATAGGAGTCGCAACCGGAAGTGGCTTCAATTTTGATGCTCTCTCTCCCCTTCTCGCTCTCTCTCTCTCTCGCTCTCTCTCTCTCTTTTTCTTTACCATACCCTACGATTTTTATCCAGCTAGAATGAAACTCCTCAACATGAATTCCGAAAGTTTTCAACGGCCGTTCCTCGGCGTTTCGCGGAGGCGCCAGAATGCTTTTGTTTGAGGCGGCCGCGAGGGGCGCCTCCATGTTTTGGCGCCTTACTCATAACGCGCAAATTTCTTCGCGCCTCCATTTTGCCTCCTGCTTTTGTCTTGGTTCACCAATAGATTCTTGGAAATTCTAAAAAACAGCTATTTTTCTGCCGTTCTGGCCCCTTTCAGACCGAAAAAGCATCGAAATTTTTGAGTACTTTCATTTTTGCGGGCGTCAGCTTAAGTTTGACGAAACGCTATTTTTCGCCTGCGTTTTTAATACCTAAATTCCGTAGCCATACCCCATTTACGAATTGCCTCCACCTCCCGATATTGATACGGACCGCGCCCTCAAAAAGTGAGTGGTGTAGCGCATGTTTTAGGGGGTAGGCATTGAGAGGGGCAGAAGTGGTGTATCCTGGGTGTTGAGAGAGAGAGGGCGAGAGAGAGCGAATCGGAACAGGTTGCCGAGGTGGTGCTCTTTTTATCACGTTTGCCCGCATATTCCCCCACGACAACCCCCGGAGGCGATCATCTCTATCGCTTGCTATCTCTGCCTGCCTGTCTCTCTCGCTCTCTCTCCCTCTCTCTCTCTCTCTCTCTCTCGCCGCGAAGGTTTGGTAACACGCCATCCCGACATTCAACCCCTGGAGGCACATCGCTGTGCAGTCCCGGACCCGAACCTGTTATCCGTGAAATCTGTAGCCCACCACTCGACCGTATTGAACGCTACAGTTCTTTGTACGCATACTTACTTTACTATACCTTGGCCTATCTTACTACCAGCCGATTACAGCCGCTTCGCGACTGCAATCGGCTGGACTTCGGGCCACCCTCCATATTCTACACCACCACATTTAATCCCTACCTTACGCTGATGCCTTCATGGCAATAACTACACTGATGGCTTCAGATACCTCCTCTAGCCAACCCCCACAAAAAACATAGCTACCTTCCCGATGGCTTCAGATACCCCTCCGGGTCGAAATTCCGTTAAAAATCTACCAAAATACCTCCCTGATGGCTTCAGATACCCCCCATGGCTGAAATCCCCTTCAAAAACTACCTAAATCCCTTCCCGATGGCTTCAGATACCCCCCATGGCTGAAATCCCCTTCAAAAACTACCTAAATACCTTCCTGATGGCTTCAGATACCCCCATGGCTGAAATCCCTTCAAAAACTACCTAAATCCCTTCCCGATGGCTTCAGATACCCCCATGGCTGAAATCCCCTTCAAAAAACTACCTAAATACCTTCCTGATGGCTTCAGATACCCCCCCATGGCTGAAATCCCCTTCAAAAACTACCTAAATACCTCCCTGATGGCTTCAGATACCCCCATGGCTGAAATCCCCTTCAAAAACTACTTAGATACCTCCCTGATGGCTTCAGATACCCCCCATGGCTGAAATCCCCTTCAAAAACTACCTAAATCCCTTCCCGATGGCTTCAGATACCCCCATGGCTGAAATCCCTTCAAAAACTACCTAAATACCTTCCCGATGGCTCAGATACCCCCCATGGCTGAAATCCCCTTCAAAAACTACCTAAATCCCTTCCCGATGGCTTCAGATACCCCCCATGGCTGAAATCCCCTTCAAAAACTACCTAAATACCTCCCTGATGGCTTCAGATACCCCCCATGGCTGAAATCCCCTTCAAAAACTACTTAGATACCTCCTGATGGCTTCAGATACCCCCCATGGCTGAAATCCCCTTCAAAAACTACTTCATACCTCCTGATGGCTTCAGATACCCCCATGGCTGAAATCCCCTTCAAAAACTACTAGATACCTCCCTGATGGTTCAGATACCCCCCATGGCTGAAATCCCTTCAAAAAACTACTTAGATACCTCCCTGATGGCTTCAGATACCCCCATGGCTGAAATCCCCTTCAAAAACTACCTAAATCCCTTCCCGATGGCTTCAGATACCCCCATGGCTGAAATCCCTTCAAAAACTACCTAAATACCTCCCTGATGGCTTCAGATACCCCCATGGCTGAAATCCCCTTCAAAAACTACTTAGATACCTCCTGATGGCTTCAGATACCCCCCATGGCTGAAATCCCCTTCAAAAACTACCTAAATCCCTTCCCGATGGCTTCAGATACCCCCATGGCTGAAATCCCCTTCAAAAAACTACCTAAATACCTTCCTGATGGCTCAGATACCCCCATGGCTGAAATCCCTTCAAAAACTACTTAGATACCTCCCTGATGGCTTCAGATACCCCCATGGCTGAAATCCCCTTCAAAAACTACTTCGATACCTCCCTGATGGCTTCAGATACCCCCCATGGCTGAAATCCCCTTCAAAAACTACTTAGATACCTCCCTGATGGCTTCAGATACCCCCATGGCTGAAATCCCCTTCAAAAACTACTTAGATACCTCCCTGATGGCTTCAGATACCCCCATGGCTGAAATCCCTTCAAAAACTACCTAAATACCTCCCTGATGGCTTCAGATACCCCCATGGCTGAAATCCCTTCAAAAACTACCTAAATCCCTTCCCGATGGCTTCAGATACCCCCCATGGCTGAAATCCCCTTCAAAAACTACTTCGATACCTCCCTGATGGCTTCAGATACCCCCCATGGCTGAAATCCCCTTCAAAAACTACCTAAATACCTTCCTGATGGCTTTAGATACTTTAAATAATTTAAATAATTAATTAACATAATTAAAAAGTATTAAAAGTATTAAAGTAACTCAAAAAGGCATCTGGGCGCGCGAAGGGGCCTGGGGAAGAGGGGCGAAGAGAAAGGGGGCGTGGCCTCCCGGGGAGAGGGGCCCCCACTCGTTTTATTAAGGCGCCACTTTCAAAGTTAATTTTAATAATTTAAACAAAAACTTTTTCGTAATTTTTTTATCAGTTTGGGGGTTTCTGACCACGCTCTATCCGAATCCGAAGAGAGCTAAGCTCTAGCTCCTTTCCCCTTCGAGTTGAATTCGGCTTCACACAGACAGACGGAGACCACAACAAAATTATTATAGTTGATACCCAATTTAGCTTACTAGGCTTAGGCTACGGCTTAGACTGAGGCTTATTAGGCTTAGGCTTAGGCTTGAACGTAGGCTTCGCTTATCCTTGAAGGACTAAGAATATTTTGTATGAATTTAAAAACTGTATTTATCATTTACTGGTTAAGCAACAATTTTGCAGAACTGAAACTCGACCACTCAAACGCGGACATCGACTGCGCGCGGGTTCTGGCTGTCGTCGACCAGTTGGAGACGGCCGTTTTGAGCACACTATTGTAAGTTCTGGTTTTTTAACTTTTTTTTTGCGCTGGTCTAATGCCAGAAATTCGCTGGCTCTTCAAGGTGTTTATCAAAAAAACCTTGCCAGGGTTTTTAGCATGGAAATAGATCATGGGATTTCTGGGTTTGTGAGTTTTAGTACGGTATTTTCATTTGTAACATCGAAGCTGAATGCATAAAACCCCATCCGTAATTTATCAAAAATCCCTTGTCCGTCTCTTTAGGTATTATTTTGATTCCTCAGGTGCCTTCGCTAGCCTGCCCTCGAAGCAATTTTTCAATTTTTCAGATAGATATGTTAATTTGCGGATGTTAGGAAGATTTTAGAAGATTAGGAAGATTTTAGAAGATCTCATTTTGCGATTTCAAGTATTCTTAAAGCAGATTTCATTTTGCTTGATCCAGATCCCCCCTAAAAAGCGGATCAATCAAAGCGAACGCACGTATCATCCCGGAAAACCCATCCCCCCGCTCCGGCCCATTTTGAGCGCCCGCAACGAACGACGATAAATCGCGGATTTGTGGATGATTGGTGATGGACCTTGAAATCTAAAAGTTAGGGATGATAGAGAGCGGGCAGGGGGAGAAACGCAGAGATGACTGCAGCCTAGACCCGGCTGATTCGGGTGATTAACCCCGTTTGTCGGCAAATAGCCTCTGAAGCGGCGGGGACGACTTACTGACAACCGACACGGGGGGCACACGTCTTCTAGCTGGTTTCGGCGCGCCGTGAAACCCGGGGTGGCTGTATGTATGTTGGACGGTTGATTCTGGTTGTCTCTAGCTTTTTGTCTCTGTATCTTTCGCGCTCTCTCTGTTGCTTTCGTCTCTCTCCCTCTCTCTCTCTATCTCTCGCTCTCGCTCTCTCTCTCTCTCTCTCTCTCCCGGAAAAATCCGATTGTCAAACCCTGAAGCCGTCAAGGCAGCTGGCTGTCTGTTTGTGTGTGTGTTTGTCGCTCCGTCCAAAAGCTAATGTTTGGGAATTACGCGACGGGGGGGAAACTGCCAATTTTTGTAGGTGTGCCAGGGCACGAAGAGCTGGGTCTTAGTTCGCGATTCCGGATGTAAGCTGCTTGATTTCATCTGGTAGGATAAGCTCGGGCTTAGGGCTAGGCTTAGGCTTGTTCTGAGGCTTTGGCTTAAGCTTAGGCTTAGCCTAGAAACCCATAGCGTTGACCCACCACCTTCTTGAATTCAACCCTTCTCTACCTACCCCATCACTTAATACCCTCCCTCCATTTCACCTTGAGTCTTTCTCCAGTTACCCCCAATTTTTTCCCAAATAAATCGCGTCAACCTGGCGGGTTGGGGGGTAACCTTCATTTCCATGTGTTTCCCAACGGACCGTTCCCAGCCGTTTCGCTTTTCGAAGGCAGAATAGGGGGAAGGGGGGGGCTTTGTCGTCTTGTCGTTTAGCTGGTTTGTTGGTGTGTTTGCCCTTGTGTATTCCTCCCCGTATTTTCCGCGTCAATCCGGCTGGCAGCTTGGGATAACATGGCAGCCCGGCACCGTTCGTTCCTTGACTTTTGTATAGTTGGATGGATCAGCCTTTGGATTTGTGCTTTACGTTACCTGGCTATCTACCCCTGTCTCTCGTTCTCTCTCTCTCTCTCTCTCTCTCTCTCTCTCTCTCTCGCTTTCTGACTTAAATCCAAACTATGCGATCTCCAATTAACTGCCAAACATCTTGCCAGATTTTACTAGTATCGGAAAACGGGGCAAGAGCCGATTTTCTGAATTTGTCGCACAAATACGCCGCTGAATACAAATATCTAACCTTTTTCTTTCCTTTGCCCTTTTTGCCTTTCCTCATTTTTTTCAGATCTGGCTTGAAGGAGTCATGCTCTAAATCGTTTTGTCTTTCGCTTTCTCTCTCTCTCTCTCTCTCTCTCTCTCTCTCTCTCTCTCTCTCTCTCTCTCTTTCTCTCTATTTCCCTTTATCTCGCTCTCTCCCCCGATCTCTCTCCGGTCAAGCGTAACTGTCTCCTAGAGATGCGGCAGAAATGGCGTCTCGCCGGTTCCGCCACTATTCATGGCAGTCTGATGAGGTAGCAACCAAATTTTTGACGGACTTGGCAGGCAAGCTGGCAGAGATTCTTTAGGAAATGCTTTTTTTGCCGTTTCAAATCCAATTTTCAGAACGAAAAACGTCGGTGTGGCCCCGGTCGTCGCCGCGCCGAAGCTAGCCTGCGCGTCGATCGTACAACGCGGAAAAACGGTCAGTTTTTCGGGGTTTCCGGGGGCTGGGAAATTGTGTTGTTTCGGAAAATTTCTCACGCTGTACGAATTTTGCGTTTTCGGGAGGCTACGTATGTTGGAAAATATTTCCGGATTTTTATTTTACCTCCTAGCTTAGTAGGCTTAGGCTTAAGTTAAGCTAAGCTTAGGCTTAGGCTTAGGCTTCTCCGAATTCTGTAGTTATAAATGCAACTATCTCAAAATCCTTAATTCTCCTGACATCATACTAAATAATTTCCCCTCTGCCTCGTCAGTAGCCATTTCCACCCCGTTCTGCATGTGCCGGTGATGAATCAGAAGTGCCCCCCCCCTTCGCGATTCCGAAACAATTCCTTTGCCCCCTTTTGCGAATCGATTCCTTCCGAATCCCTCTAGCCATCATCAGCCATTCTGTCCCCCCGGATCGCCTATGTATATTTTTCTGGCCCCGCTGCAGATCGTGAGTTTCGTCTTTTTCAACGATTAAATTTATCGCAAAACGGGATAAAAATTTGTTTCCTCGTCTGAATTTTGTAGTTGCACCATTTATGCTATTTTGCACGGTGCTCCTGCGAGGTCTCCTGCTGCTACAATTAGGCGTAGGCTCAGATCAAGCGCAAGCTTGAACAACTCATTGAAAACCCATGGCCAACTCCCCATTTTTCCGGCGGAAAAAACGACGGATTTCCGAGCATTTCCCCGGGCCCGTATTTCCGGTAGGTCACCAAATGGCCCGCCCGGGGGTCGCGAATATTTTCCGCTTGGCATCTTGGGATTTTTGCTCTGGTTCACAATCGAAAAAGGATTTAGATTCGGAATTTTTTTTGAATGAATATCTCTCATTTTCTCTCTCCTCTCTCTCTCTCTCTCTCTCTCTCTCTATCTCTCTCTCTCTCTCGCTTGTTTGATCCTCTAATTCTTTTTTGATATTCGGGAGAGAGAGTGAGAGATTGAGAGAGCGAGAAAGTAAATCTGAGTCTAAGAATATGAGTAAATCCCTATACTTAAACTTAACACTTAACCTAAGCCAAGCCTAGGCCCAAGCCTACTCAGGCCTATACGTCAATGGTAAAAGTAGCTTCACTTTCCCTTTAACCCATAGCCATACCTTACCGTCCATCAAACCATCTGTTTACCCCCAATTAGCATACGAAAACCATCCGAGATTTCCTTAGCCATTCCCCCCTCAAACATATCGTTAAACAGGCCATGTTTGCGGGACCATTTCGCGGGCGGAGGTCAACGATTTTCCGGGCCGTCGGACAACGAGACGCTCCTGTTTGCACTCCAATTGTCCCCCGGGGATCGTCCCCCTAAAGTGGGACGGCCATGTTCGGACGGTGGTTTTGGTACTCAAGGAACTCGGATTTCCGGCTTGGAGTGCTTGGCTCGAGATTTGGGATTAGTCCTAAGCTAAGCTAAAGCTAAGCCTAAATCTAAGCCTAAGCCAAACCTAAGTCAATATCCAGCCGAAATTACCCTTGAGCCTAAGCCTATGCCTAAGCTAAGCCTAAGCCTAAGTTCGCTTCTCGAAATAGTGCTTCTCAAGGGTATCCATTTCTAGTTCTTGCTCCGATAGGGCAGGGTGAGGAGCAACCACCCGGTGAGGTCGACTCATAAACATTTATGGACTGTGGCGGGACAGTCCTCAACCCAATCACCCTCAACTAGCCGCCTTTCGGAGGCTCGAGGCACGATTTTAACTGTCTTGCCCCTCACACGCTCTCTCTCTCTCTCTCTATCTTACGCTCTCCTTAAAAATAGCTTTCTGAAATTTATTTGTTGAAAGGACTGATCTATTTTCTATTTTCCTATTCCCCTTTCCGCCCCATACGCAGGATTACCGTCCTCGGTTAGTACGTTCAAAGGACTTCCCCGTAGTACACGCCATACCCTGAATTTGTATGACAAAAGGTCAATAGACTTTTTGGGGGATTAGCAAGGGTATGACTCGCGTCAACAATTGCTGCCATTTGCATACTATCCTTGTTGCTGCATACCATCGGGTTTTGTTATATTTATTTTGTTTTTTTTTCCGAAACGCACAAGTTTATAAAATTTAGTTACTTGGACATATAAACGACAGGAATTTTTAATTTTTTAGTATTTTTATAAGTTTTCTCAACCATTTTGTACTTGAAATTTACTGAAAACACAAAAAATTGTTCCTCTTTAAGAATAACCGAAAAACACCCCCCCGATAATGCTAAAGCACCATGGAGGGGCTGGGGCTCAGGCTTAAGCTTATGATCCAGCTTAGGCTTAAGCTTATACTCAAGCTGAGGGCTAGGCTTAGGCTTGGGCTCGTCCATCACTTTCGCGGTCTATCCCGTTAAGTCCAACCTACAACCCTTGCCACCATCCGATTCCAACCTTACCCACCTGCTCTTTCCCTAATTTGGCGCGTCAAGCCGGTGCCGCGCTACGCGCCGCGTGCCTCGTCTTGTCCATCCATAGAGCCACAGAGAGCGTTTTGTGTATTTTGGCGTGTTTCTTGGAGATGCGAGAAGAAGTCGGTGGTCGTGTGTGTTCACACGAGGACAGGTCCCAAACACACAAATACACATACAGACGGAGACACACACAACCCCGGGCCCGTGCTACTTGGCCCCACACAAAGCGGGCCCTAAGCTGCCACTGAGGCCTGTTCAGTACCAGCTCGCGGGTGCTCGACCCGATGATCGGGGTGCTTGACTTCTAAGGCCTTTTAATCGCTTTCGATCGATTTCGTTGATTTCATCGAAACGAGTGGATTTTGGCGATATTTAGCTCTCTCTCTC